GTTTCCGAGCAGCCAGGCGAGGGGGGGAGGGAGGCGCGCGCGGGGCGAACGAGGCCGGGCTACGGCAGCCCGCGAGGGACATCCCTGAGGAGGGGGGGACGCGCGCAGGAGAGAAAGGGGCGCCATCTTGGTCGCGCGGCGGCCTACGGTGGGCGGCGAGGGACATGGCGAGTGGCAAACGCGGGGCCGCGGAGGCTCGTCAGGGACAAAGTAGCACCCAGATACCTCGTTTCCCCCTTTCATGGGCGACCAAATCCGAGAACGAGAGGAGGAGAAAGGGCTGTGGTAATAGGAACATTATTCGTAGTCTTAAAAACAGTAATATCATGCTTATTATTGCCTTCATAAATGTACGTCTACAACAGAAGAGTGGCCTACGGCAAGCCGTTAAGGACACGTGGAAGAAGGAGGATTCCCCTGCGCCGCCATCTTGGTTTCGTTTCTAGGCAACCAGGGACGCAAAGAAAAGCCCGCTGCCTACGGTGGTCCGCGTGGGACAAACAAGGCGCACACGCTCGTTCTCGCGTTTGCCAAACGCTTGCCTTTTGACATGACCGTGGATGTATTTTGAGACTGAAAGAAAACTTCTCCAGGCGCCCACTTGGGTGCCTGGTGTCCCTCGTTTTCAGAAGCTTCCCAGGTCCCAAAGCCCAGTGTGTGGGGTGCAAGTCTGCAACACAGTGAGAAAAGCACTCTGCACATGGTCAATGGCATCTCCTGCTCATGGTTTACACACAGATGTTGCAAGACATTGCACTTCAGCTTTCTGTCCACTCAGTTTTTAGTAAGATTGCTAAATAAATGCCTCTTTCCGCAAGCTTGTGTGGCTTTTTTTATTCCTTCCTTTTGCCAGCTTCCTCTCCTTGCTGAACCAGCCGTGGAGCTTAGCATGAAAATAAAGTGGGCTGGGAGCACAATCTTAAAAATCTCTCTCTCCATATTAAGACAATGGTAGGCGGGTGTTTCGGGTACAGCTAATCGCTCAGGGAGCCACAGATGGTGAACTGAAAGAAATGGAACAGAGCCGCCCACCTATTTTTATTCATTTATATTAAAAATATTTGCATTTGGGGGAGGTTTGTTTTGGCACGATTAAAAAAGAAAGAACACATGACAACAGGAGGCCTCATTTCTTGGACCCCCTTTGCTTCTTCTTGGAGACTTTGGTCTTGTCCTCGATCAGCTTCACCCCCTGCTTCATAATCTCCTCCCGGTTGGGCACGTAGCTGTGGTCGATGTCGGCGAAATTGAAGGCCTCTGAGGAAGCGAAGGAGGACATTTCGTGAGCGAAACAGGCAGACTCAAATGCGACAGGGGAAACAGGCGAGCAGGCAAGCACGCCTGAAGCCGGAGCAGGAGGTGAGGAAAAGCCTCTTCACTTGGAGTCTGTCTTTCCATTCAAACAAGGCTCAAGGATTATAATTGGGAAAAAGCCCGGAAAAAAGCCTCTGGGCCTATTGAGAAGAAATATGGGATGCTCTTCTCTTTTCCTGGCTCCAGACATGGCAGACTACAGTATCCATCAACCCCAGCTAGTGTGGCCCTTGGGGGTGATGGGAATTGTAGTCCAGTGCCTCTAGAAAACCCCAAGTTTGAAGACAGCTGCAGAATTGCCGTCTCCAAGGTTCCTTGGGATCAAGAAACAAAGGCAGGGCAAAGATATTTTATATAAACACCCTTGATTGAGAATCGATTCTGTTGTTTCTCCAACAGCAAAGAATGTGCGGATCCACCTGAGGAGGCTTACGTACCTCTCACATCCTCTTCATCGTCCTCGAAAGCAATCCTAAGGTTCTCCCGTTCGTTTCTCGTACTTGCTTCTAGGAAATTCCTCACATGTACAAAATCCTGGACAGATTGGAGACAGGTTAGAGCTGAACTGCGCTTATGACCCCACCGGTGGCAGAGAGTCAAGCCCACTTCCACACCCTCATCGCTTTATCGGCTTTGAGGGGGTGCTGGGAAATCATCCACCTCCGCCCTGGTATGAAAAGCTTGATGTGCAAATAGGGCTGAGATGGGGGGTGAAACCTCTGGATAAGATCTGTGGGGCTGAGAGGAGACAGCAACGCTCTCGGATGGCCCTCCCTCCCTCCCTCCTGGCGCCTAGCAAAACTGGGATTAATTATAGGAATTTAAAGGCATGTCTTACAAATTTAAGTGTACTGTCCTAAGGGGGAAATGGATGCACACAGTAAAGATCGGGGTGAGTGAGGAAGGCAAGGCTAATGGGGCTCCCCTAAAAAGCCCTGATAAACAGGGGTGCATTTTGCTCTTTTCTGATCTACGTTATATGAACGCTCAGCGTTCTTTTGTGTCCTCCTTTATCCTGCAGAATAAATACGTGCCCTTTCATTGCAAGTGTTGTTCCTCACATGTACAAAATCCTGGACAGATCGGAGGCAGGATAGAGTTGAACTGCGCTGATGGCTCCACGGGTGGCAGAGAGAGTCAAACCTGCCCTCTTGCGTGCACAGATCAACCTCTGGAGAGGGCCAGCACAGGGGGTGCTGGGAAATCATCCACCTCCGCCCTGGTATGAAAAGCTTGATGTGCAAATAGGGCTGAGATGGGGGGTGAAACCTCTGGATAAGATCTGTGGGGCTGAGAGGAGACAGCAACGCTCTCGGATGGCCCTCCCTCCCTCCCTCCTGGCGCCTAGCAAAACTGGGATTAATTATAGGAATTTAAAGGCATGTCTTACAAATTTAAGTGTACTGTCCTAAGGGGGAAATGGATGCACACAGTAAAGATCGGGGTGAGTGAGGAAGGCAAGGCTAATGGGGCTCCCCTAAAAAGCCCTGATAAACAGGGGTGCATTTTGCTCTTTTCTGATCTACGTTATATGAACGCTCAGCGTTCTTTTGTGTCCTCCTTTATCCTGCAGAATAAATACGTGCCCTTTCATTGCAAGTGTTGTCTTTTTCTCCCACCTTGTAGGGAATTGGAAACTGGCCCACCGAGGTGCCTCGCCTGTTGATTTTTGCAAAAAAAACCTACCCAGAAATCCACCTGCCCTCTTCTGTGCACGGATCGACCTCCGGAGAGGGCCTGCACGTCTACTCACCTCGTTGGTCTCTTCTTGGCTGAAGTCGTAGGAGGGCAGGTTGGACATCTTTTGAACCAGGTGCAGGAGCTTGGCTTCGCAGAACTGCAGATTCTCAAACACATCCCTGCCCTCTTCAAAGTCCTCCTCCTGAGACCCAAAAGAAAGATGATGTCCAGGGTCGGAAACCCAAAATTTGGGTGCGGGGCTTTTAAGCTGCAGTGATCTGGAATTGCAGTGATCTGCAATTAAGCTATAAAGTTGCAATAGGAGAAACGGGGCGAAACGGTCCAGATTGGGGAAGGCAGGGTGCACTGCCCACCGCTCAGCAGAGGGAGAAAAGTCCGTGACGCTCAAGCCTACAGAGACATAACAGGGAGACCCCTCTGTGAGGGGCTGCGTTGGGTGACGGAAACCTTTGAGGGGACAGCTTGGGCTTCTTTCCCCGCCAGCCACCTGTCCCGCCACCCACAGAGGGGGATCTTCTGTTCCACCCTCAGCGGACCCGAAGGTCGGGCGGGAAGGACGTCTCGCCCACAGCGCGGCTTACCTGGCCGGGCACCTGGATGCCGCACAGCCTCAACATGAGGTTGTCCACCCCGTTCTCGAAACGGAGGAGCAGCTCCTGGTTCTTGGACGCCTGAGACTGGACGCGCTGGAGCCTCTCCTCCTCCTCGGCCAGGTTTCTCTGCAAATCCTCCCTCAGTTTCCTCAAACTGGGAATTGAGAAGGGCCACCAGACCCGGCTTGGGATTTTTGCAGGGTGGGGTGGACAGAAGGACTTCCCGAAACCCGGAAGGAGACGAGAGGGAGGGGTAAAGATCCATGTCCAGGGAACCCCCTCCCCATGAGCCTCCACGGCCCCAGAGACCCACGCCGGGAGGAGTTACCTCAGGAAACTGGGGGTCTGGTGGAATTTCAGCTCGGCTCTCACCAGCTCCAGCTCCTTCAGCTGGTCCTTCAGCGCTCGGCGCTTCTTCTCCGACTCCGCAATTTGCTGCTGGAGGTTCTCCTCGGATTTCTTCTGCGCCATGAACCTCCCGGCGATGTCCTGGAGAGGGAAGACAGAGGGGCCTGCACCCAACCCAAGCAGATCCGGTGGAGGGGGGGCAAAAGGAGGGGCTATTTTAGGTGGCCTTTCCCACCATTCTGGGAGCGGTCCCCCCCCAAAAAAAAACAGCAATTAAAGGGAATTCCCTTCCAAGATGGGGCTGGATCCGGGCCAAGGTAGCCGAAGAAGCCCAGAACGACCATACCCAGAGGTGGGAGCACTGGACGGCAGATTTGACCTTCTCCACCTCGGAAGTCACTAAGCCCTGATACTCGATCTGAGCTTTCGAGCGCTCCAGTTTTGTCCCTGAGGGTGGGAGGAAAGCAAGAGGAGGGGATCAGGACCCTCTGGCCTCTTTCCCCTCCCCAATGCACGCATTTCCCACTCCTGCGCAGGAGGTCCCACGCAGGGCAGCCCAAAGACAAGCAAGCAGGACTCCTGATCCGAGCGCTCACGACCGGGACTGGATGGCGGTCCCGATTCTGTTCCTTTCATCCAGCCTCTCTACCTCTTGCTCCTTCGTGGCCCATCAGGGTGGGGAAGTCCAGGTTCATGTCTCGACGAGCTTGCTGGGGAGAAAAGGGAGGGGCGGGAGTCACAGAGAGGCTGGGGAAGTGTCCACGGAGGTATACTGCCCCTAAACATGGAGGCTTCACCGAGCTAATCAAACTCACCTCTATGTGGCCCACAAACTTGGTCAAGAAGGCATGATTAGGGTGATGCTCTGCTTGTGATTTCAATGGACTTATACCCACCTACATCCTTTTTTTCTTTTTCTCTCCAGCCGGGAGGAAACCAAGTTAAAACAAGGTTACATCCTGAATCCCGGCCGCGTTCCCCCGACGCTGGACCTGAAACTCACCATCTTCCGGTATTTCTCGCTGGTGTCCTTCGTCCGGATCCGTTCTATCTGCTTCTTCTGGCTGCTCAGCATATTTTCCCTGTTTCTCTTCTCTACAATTAAGTCCCGTTCGGTCTCTCCAGCCGGGAGGAAACCAAGTTAAAACAAGGTTACATCCTGAATCCCGGCCGCGTTCCCCCGACGCTGGACCTGAAACTCACCATCTTCCGGTATTTCTCGCTGGTGTCCTTCGTCCGGATCCGTTCTATCTGCTTCTTCTGGCTGCTCAGCATATTTTCCCTGTTTCTCTTCTCTACAATTAAGTCCCGTTCGGTGGCCACCATGTCTCCCTGGAAGACCATCGCAAGGCATGAGGGGGGG